TACACGAGTCAAAGGATGCTAGACGCGGCTGAGATATATGGCCCAACCTCACGAATTGGAGGTGTGTAATTTAATTGTTTGTTTCATTATAAGGTTCTGATCAGTGTTTTAGCCTTGTTTTGTTTTGCAAAAGAGATGAATAAGTTCCTAGAAGCAATTGGTGGGGTTGGCATCCTTAAGAAGGGAAGAGGGAAGGGGGTTAAGGTTGGGAGACGAGGTAAGGTGAGCTCGGCATCTTAACCTAAGGTTTAAACCTTAGCTGTTTCCCAACCCAGCAATGTTGGGGACGATGTGACGATAGCTGAGGAAGGACCTATTGTTGCAAAGAGGAGAATGATAGAGGAGGAGCAGTAGGAGCCTAAAGAGAAGGTGACAAAACCTGCCACTTCGTCTCTTCACATTGACATTGGGACTTCTGCCACGGCTGCTAAGGTTGTAGCTGAACTCCAAGAGTAGGGGTATGTCCACCTGCAGACAACCAGCTTCTACGATTCTAGGATGAGAAGCACAATAAAAAGGTTCATCAACGCTTACTTCCCAGAAGTGGACACCAACGTGCGAGAGACGAGGTGGCAACCAGAGGTTCAGTAGGGGTGGTGCGTCAAGCCCTTGAGGTACAACATTCCTATTTCGCTTGAAGTTTTAAGATCAAGATTTTGTTAATTGTTTGCTGATTTGAGTTTAACCTGTTGTGTAGGCTGTGAATATCGTGAATACACTGGCAAACGAGCATCACAAGAGCCTGAGGGATAGGACGCAGCTAAGAAAGGAGAATGCCAAGCTCGTCAAGAAAAATGAAGAGGTCGAGCTCGAGGTGGCAAAACTGAGATCAAAGATGGAAAGGCTTAGAAAGGAGAATGCCACCTTGAAAAAAAGACTCAAAGCTCTCATACGAAAAAAGGAAGATTTGTGAAGACGAGCTCGAAAAGAAGGAAAAAGAGTTGGACGAGGTGATGAGGGTGGAAGCTGAGCTGGAGCTCAAAGTTCACAACTCTTTTGAAGAGCATGTGGCAGAGTTTTTGAAGTCCAACACTTTCGAGGATATTGTCAAACTCTACCGACTCCCAACAACAATTGTAGCCTTCTTCGATTGCCGAATAAGGTGAAATTGTAGTGCCCTAACGTGGATGTGACAAAAATCACATTCGAAGATTAGGAGGGAGAAGTGGAAGAAGATGGGGAGAGCAATATTGTTGACTTCCGTCCTAAGGTTACGCTAAAGTGGGATAGGCACAGCAGAAGTCGAACCATCTTCCCTCTGAACTTCAGTTTTGAGTTCGTTCCGATGGATAACGAATGGAGCGGAGGTGTTGACAAACCAGATCAGCTTGCTGAATAACTCTTCACCTCATTCATTTTGTAAAAACAAATTGTTTGTAAATAATTAAAGTTTATGTAATAAATTCAATTTGTTGTTTTAATGTGTTGATTGTGTTTTTGCAGTGATTTGAACTGGGAAGGGATGAATGACCGAAATGAAACTTGCTAATTTGGCTGAAGTGGGAGTATTGAAATTGACTTCACCCGTAACTTTATTAAGACATCAAATGTTACAAAAGAAGGATGTCTAATACAAGTATTGAAATGGGAAACTTTTAAGGGTAGAATTTCTTGAGGTTGTTGACATTCTAGACCCTAGGCACTCTCTTTCCCTCAGAATCTTGGAGAATGTAAGCACCAGGGTGTGGGATTTCGTTTACAACATATGGGCCTTCCCAGTTCAGTGCCAGTTTACCAAAGTGGGTCTCGAACCCTACGAGCCAGCCTTTCTTAGAACTAGGTCACCAATTCTGAATCACTAAGGTCAAACTCATTGTAAAAGATGGCTACCTTCTACTTATATGCAAGCATTTGAAGTTGGGATTGCTCATAGATTTCGTCTAAGAAATCAAGGTTTTCTCTAAGTAGCTGCTCATTTTGAGCTGGTTCAAAATGGCTGACCTTTAAGCTCGGAACACCAATTTCGACAGGAATAACTGCCTCAGTGCCAAAGGCCAAATGATAGGGTGTTTCGCCTATTTGAAAGAGACTATGATTTTAGGATTTGCTTTACGAAGTGATATATGATTGGAAGAAAATAGTGAAAGAGGAGATTAAAATCATAAGCGTACTTGTGGCAGTTCAGCTCGTAGTTTGATAGGCCCATTGGATGTTGTTGAGCTCGTCTACCCATTTTGCTTTTAACTTATCCAACCTTGGCTTGATTCCCTCTATGATGGCTTTGTTAACTGATTCAACCATGCCATTGGCCTCGGGATGACAAACTGAAGTGAACACTAGCTTAATCCCATAACTGGAGCAAAAATCTTTAACGGAGTTGCAATTAAATTGAGGACCATTATTAGCAATGATCTGGTTTGGTATCCCGTATCTGCAAATGACCGAGCTGAAAAGAAAATCCTCAATCCTTTTTGAAGTCAAATAAGAGAAAGGTTGGGCTTCTACCAACTTAGTAAAGTAATCCATGGCAATAACTAAGTGCATTACTCTCTCTACTCCTTTGATGAAGGGGCCTAAAGATCTATTCCCCATTGGGCAAAAGGCCAAGGTGTTATCATGTTAATGAGTTCTTCAGCTGGTTGGTGCTATCATGTATGAACTAGTTTGCATCAGACTGCATGTTAGGCCAATAATACCCCTGCCGAAGTATCTTATGGGCTGAAGTTCAAGCTCCCACATGGCTTCCACATATCTCTTCGTATACTTCTCTCAATGCATACTCGGCTTCATAGGGCGTCAGACACTAGAGGAAAGGTAGTGAATAAGATCTCTTGTATAAGACATCATCAACTAGGGTGTACCAGGACACTTTTCTCCACAACTTCATCTCCTCTTATTGGTCCGTTGGGATAGTTCCATCTCGGAGATAAGCTCTAATGGGATCCGTCCAACTAGCAGTTTCTGGATCGGTACTGATTTCCATTACCTTCGATGTCTGAAAGCTTGGTTCATTTAGGATCTCGATATAAATAGATCTCACCTTTCCTGAGCTATCAGATGCTAACTTTGACAAAAAATCTACATGTTCATTCTCTACTCTTGGGACCTTTATAAGCTAAATTTTTCAAAGTGACACTTTAGCCCAAAGATTGTGGCCACATACTTTGCAAGGGTGGGATATGTGACCTCGCACATAGAATTGATTTAATTGACCACCAATTGTGAGTCACTATATATCTGTAGGCGCTTGACCTTGAGCTCGGTTACCAATCGTAGTTTAAGGAGGAGTGCCTTATACTTGGTCATATTATTCGTGGCTTCAAAGTTGAACTTTAATGCATGTTCACTTCGAAAATTGTCAGGTCCAGTCAATACTGCTCTAACTCCTAACCCCTTGCTATTGGATGACCCATCGACGTAAAGTGTCCATATTTCGGTCTTGGAACTCAGTTTCTCCTAATTAGAACTACATTCTACCACGAAGTTTGCCAAAACCTGACCTCAGATTGCTGACCTCCGCCGGAATGTTATCTGGAACTCCCCCAGCACTACTGCCCATTTAATGAGTCATCTGGAGCATTCTGGTTTCTGCAAAATCTGCCTTACAAGTTGGTCAGTCATCACAATAATGGGATGGGATTAGAAATATGGCCTTAACTTCCTCGCGGTGATAATAATTGCTAGAGCTGCCTTTTCTGCCATGAAATACCTCTGTTCAGCTCCTTGTAATATCGTTGCTGCTTCCTCAGTTCCTTGACCAAAACAAAGATGACAACTATATCAAATATCCCAAGCTAAAGATAAAGAATATCACCTTCTTTAGCCTTAGTCAATAGAGGTGGCGAGCTGAGGTAGGCTTTGAGCTCGTCAAGGTTGTTCGACAGTCTGCAATCCAGTCAAATTGGGTTTTCCCATCTCATCTCTCTGAGCTGTGGTTCTCAAGACCTTGAAAAAAGGCAAGCATTTATCTATTGATTTAGAGATGAACCTGTGCAGAGCTGCTACCCAACCAGTTAGACGCTGCATATCCTTAGTTGACCTTGGTGGCTTCATTTCCTCTATCGCTTTTATCTTCTTAAGATTGACCTCTATCCCCCTTCTGGAAACTATAACACCCAGAAACTTGCCCAATTCAACACCAAAAGTGCATTTCACTGGATTCAATTTCATGCTGTATCTTCTCAAGTTGTTAAATGTCTCAACCAAGTCAGTCAGGTGATCCTCTGCTTGAAGACTTTTGACTACAATGTCGTCTATGTAGACCTCTAGATTTCTACCTATCTGAGCTCGGAATACGATTGTTACCATTTCTTGATATGTTGCTCCTGCATTCTTGAACCCCAAATGGCATCATCACGTAACAATAGATTTCATCCCCAGCATAAAATGTGGTCTTCACCTCGTCTTCAGGTGCCATGTGAACTTGATGATACCCCAAATAAGCATCTAAGAGACTCAACCTTTCATTTCTTGAGGCAACTTCTACCAGCTTGTCTATGTTGGGCATGAGGTGACAGTCCTTAGGGCAGGCGTCATTGAGATTGGTGTAGTCAATACACATTCGCCACTTACTGTTTGACTTTTTTACCAGAACAAGATTAGCAACCCATTCACAATAATCTACTCTTCTCATGAATCCAACCTATAATAACTTTTACACCTCCTATCTGATAGCTTGCATCGTCTCCCCTCCAAACAAACGTCTCTTCTAAGCTACGGGTTTCTTCACAGGGTTAGTACTTAACTTGTGCACCACAACCGAGGTCGGGATCCCAGGCATGTCAATTGAGGTCCACACAAACACATCCTTATTTGTTTTTAAGAAGCTTATGAGCTCCTCTCTTTCCCTCGATTTCAATCTACGTCTTTCTGGGGGGATCATTGTCGTCGATCTATACTTCTTCCGTTTCCTCTACTGGAGCAACTTTGGCTTCATCATCCGATCAATTGTCTAAGAACTCCAAACCTATCACCTGCTAACTACTAGGTGCCTCTGATTTCACTGGTTTTGGTAATTGAATTGGCTCCTTATCCCTCTGAGGTCGATTGACCAGGGTCATATAACAGTGTCTAGCTACTTCTTGGTTACCCCTCAGAGTCGCAACTCCTATAGGTGTGAGGAATTTCATGCACAGATGAGACTGCGAGACGATAACTTGGATTTCTGTCAAGGTGGACCTCCCCACTTCTATGTTGAAAAATGAGGCCATTTTCACAACCAGAAACCGAACTGAGGGGTGACATACATTCGGCCTAAACCGACAGCCACATTGAGCCTTAGTACCCCTTTAATGGGAACTAGCTGATTGTTGAAGCCATAGATAGGTCCATCATATTTTTGTAAGAGAGCTGGGTCGAGGTCAAGGCTCTCAAAACAATAGTAGTACATTATATCTGGAGCGCTTTTGGTGTCAACGAGGACATGATGGACTTCACAGTTGTTAATGATGATCGACATAACGAGCAGGTCATTATGGGTTGTAACGACAATGTCGAGGTCAGTCGATGTGAATGTTACAAGTTGGTTCTTTCACCCTTCGTCGTCGAACTTCCTTTTCTGAGCCTGGTTCTGGTGTTTAACGTCCCTCACATAGAGTTTCTGCTATTTTGAGCTCGTCCTTCCAGCTTTTAGCCCCCCATTTATCATGTAACTGATTTTGGTTGGTGTGGGGAGTGGAGGTGAAGCCTGGTGATATCCGACCCCAAACTTGTTGCCAGCACCTCAGGGTCTTTAAGACTCTTGTCCCTACTCCCTTACAAACTTGGGGGTGGTCCTTGTTAGGGATGAACTCATTCAACATCCCCTTCCGAGCCAACCTTTCAAGCTGGACTTCAGGCTATTGCATTCTTCTATTGTATAGCCATGATCTTGGTGGAAGTCACAGTACTTAGTATGATCTCTGGAGGTGGGTAAGCTTTGCATGGGTGGTGGCCTTCTGAGATCCATTTTATTTTTGATTTGCATTAAGATTCGTGACCTCGGTAATGTAAATGGAGTCCAAGTCGGCTGCCTCCTTGTGGCCTGCGAGGCACTCACACTAGACTTATCAACCTTGGTGGTTGAAAGTGGACCTCAATTTTGAAGGACTTTGAATTTCTTCTTGCTCAGCCCTTCCTCTCTCCACGTAGGGCTTTTGCTATCTTTGGTGGTTAAGGGCTTTTGTGACAACCTGTATTCTTCTGCAGTGATGAAATTGCAGGATCTTTTATTGACTTCTTCAAATCAAGTAAGGGGGTGCTTGATCAAGCTGTCTCAAAACCGCTCATAGCCAAGCCCTTAGGTGATGGCAGCGATTCCTACAGATTGGTCAAACGAACCGATCTCCAGCACAGCGTCATTGAACCTGTTTATATAATTTTTTAGAGATTCTCCTTCCCTCTGGACCACCCACATGAGCTCGACTGTTGCTTTCTTGATCAGCATCCGACTAAAAATTTTGGTGGCAAAGGTCGTTGCCATTTCGGCATATGAACTGATTGAGTTCAGCTTCAAACTGTAAGACCAGGTTCGAGCATTAACACGTAATGTGGATGGAAATATTTTGCACATGAGGGCGTTCGAGGCGTTATGGGTTTGCATGACAGAACAGAAGGCGTGTAAGTGGTCATCAAGGTCTTTAGTCCCATTGTACGTTTCGAATTGAGGCATTCCGAAGCTTGATGGGTATGGTTCCTAAATAATGTTGGTATTAAGGGGAGTAGATACAGGAGTTGAGTTGGTTTGGCTTGGAGTTACAGCTCTGTTTTCGGCAACATTCTTTCAAGGTTATCTAGCCTTTTGGAGACATCTGAGGCTACTCGTTGGGGTGGATTGGGGGGTGGAGGTGAGATGTGAGATTGTGATTGGGACACACTCTTAGATGGGGCAACGCTCTGTACAAGGGAGTTGATAGGCTGTTGTTGTTGGTGAGAAACAATGGAGTGAGCTGGGTTTAATAAGTTTATGAGAGGGTCACCGGGATTGTTTTTGGCTAGAAGTTGTGCAAGCACCAGCTGGAACACTCCGAACTATTGCTGCATGGTGTTGAGATGAGTAGCTATCAGGTCATTCGAGGTGGTGACTTGATGTTGTGGATTGTGTTCTCCTGTTCCTTCCACATGTTGACGTTGAGCAACAACAAGCAGTACATTTTGAGGTATGGGGTTGGGGCTCGATAATTGGCCTCTTCCATCACCTCGAGACTAACTTCCATGCTAGGTTGAGCGTGTGCGAACCATCTTAGTCTCTTTCAAGGCTGCTTGTTCGTATTCCCATAGACGACGCCAATGTTGTTGTAGAAAACCTCTAAGATCTTCCTTTTGTGTATTTTATCTCTGGGCAAACCTACAAAATCCTGAGGTTGGTCCTCGGGGAGAAACTCTGATACTTAAGCTAGTATTTTTCTGGAGAGTGTTATCTTTATGATTATTCCGTCTATATAACGTACCTTTCCTCATGGGTTTTGTACATCTTGGCAAGGTATCTACGTGGCCTACCCGTACCCACGTGGCCTACTTAACATGATAATCATGATATGATGTGCTTGACGGAGTAGACATCTTAGGTGAACATAACATTGCCTTAACAAAGCAACCACATTAACTGCGCGTGGCATGTTCTGGCGGAGCAGGTCGAAGATCAGGTAAGGACAAATAATTGGGTAACGGTGTTCTCATTGTAACTGCCGTGCACCTGTGGTAGAGAACAGAGGTGCGGCAAAGCACTAAGCTTTGCCTTGCATGTTGTGCATTTGCAGTAGAAAACTGAGGTGCGGCACAACACTAAGCTCTGCCTTGCGTATTTATACCCTTACAACTTGGCCCTTAAAAAAAGAAAAAAGGTCCCCATCATTATATTATCTCCATTTAATTTTAATTGTCTCACCTTTCAATTTGAATATTCAAAATTAATTGTTAGTTACTTCTATTTTACCATTATTTTAAGAAAATAATTACATTGCATGTTACAATGGGCATGCTTGGTAGTGGTTAATTAAGGGGTAACTAGGGGTTTAACGCAATGAATGTTGTTAATTATAGTAAGGATCTTTCTAACTAAGGTAAAGGAAGAAAATAATGCATCATTTTTAATATTAAGGCTTTGTTTAACAATGCTCTTTATAAACTTCTTTAATACAGTGTCTTTTTTAAAAATGTATATTTAATATTATTATTTAATTTTAATTAAGTTTTCATATTTTTTTACTAATTTTAGTTAAAAATATGTATACTTTTAGGTGGTTAAAAATGAAATAATCTATAATTACATTACAACACAACATAATACTCTTAAAGGAAGCCTAAATTGTATAAAATAATATAAAATTTAATCTCAACTTCACTATCAATCTCACATTAATTATTTTAATTAAATAGTTATTAAATAAATTTTTAACTTTTATTTTTTAAAAATTCTAATTAATATAAATAAGATAGATTAATTGCACCCTTAAAATTAGAAAAACCCAAAAAAAAAAAAAAAAAAACTGACGCTTCGTTCAACTTTAGTTGTCTTATTTTGTAGTTTGAGCATTTAAATTTTGTCTACTTTTTTTTTTGAAAATTGATCTCAGGACCAACATTTTTGTATTATCTTTTTTACAACCTTACTGTTATTTAAGTGGTTAACTTCTTCTTTTTTTTTTTGGTTTCACAATAGAGAACAATCATCTCTCATTCCTTATCACATTCCTTATCTCATCCCACATGTATGTCATGCAATTTGAATTCAGGATCTCTTACTTTCAATAAAAGAAGATAACCACTGAATCACTTAGGTCGTTAGCAAATGATTGACTATTTTTATTTATTTATAACCCATAATATTGAATACATCAACTTATTTAATGATACATGAAAGTTGCATAAAAAGATAATACAAAAAGATTATCCCTATATTACCACCTTTTTATTTTAAAGTATCATTTAAGGCATAATTAAATAACAAATTACAATATATATGTTTATTTAAGTAGTGGTTAATTATGAGTAAATATATTTTACTTCTTCCGTCCTATTATAGATGTTTTTATTTAAAGATTTGGGACAATTTCTATTCTTTTTCTGTTTTACCCATAAAGGAAATTTAAAAAATGATTTTTTTAATGATATGACAGATAATTAAAATTAATAGATAAACACAAAATTAAAATAAAAAAAAAAGATATTTGACTCCTTAAAAAAATAACAAAATTACTATTAATTTTAAATAAGAAAACGTTTATTGTTTTGGAATTGAGAAAGTATCAATTAATTATTACTCCCTCCATTCCTTTTTAAGAGATATAATTTGATATTTTGAATTTTAAAACATGATTTTTAGATAAAATTTAACATTCTATGTAAATAAAAATTGAAAATTTTTTTATTAAATAAAAATACATAACAAGAATTATATATAGGGATAAAAAAATTTCAATTATTGTTCATTATAGTGTTAAATTTTTATCTAAAATTTATGTTTAAAAATACCAAAAAAAATCAAATTAAATTTATTAAAAATAAAATTATATTCATATTTTACCGGAGGGAATAAAAAAGTTCACAAAAGTTGAGAGAGTCTAAACTTGCTACAGAATTATGAAATTACACATTTACGGCCTAGACTTTATCTTCCCCAAGACTTCTCTTCTGCTCTCTCATCCTTCCATCTTCTTCTCTCTCCGTTCTCGCTTCCAGGACGTCGTAAAATGCTTCAAGGACCTGGTCGACTCTCCGTTGCCTCCTTCATAGTTCTTCTTTTGCGGTCTTTGACATCGACTCTTCTCCTTCTCCTGCGCAACTTGGTCGTGGCTTTGAAGGTTAGCCGACGCTCTCAGCGCAGCCTCGGATGTAAGACCGTTGCGCGAGGCCGTCGTGCAGAACCAGAGTTCTGGTTTTGGGCCATTATATTTTGTGGATTTTGACGATGTAAAAGCCTTTGTAATTCATATTGGGCTTTTAAACTTCTTTTTAATTAATCTTTGAAAACTGAATTGAACTTGATGAAATTTATAAATTATGTTGATTTTATACCTTTCAAATTTGAAATTCACTACACTTTTTCACACAATATTTCATTATAGGTTCTCTTAACTTATACTCTAGGTACACAACTTAAAAGAATAGTAATTCTATATTTTTTTTGTAATTAATTTGTTTTAAAAATTAAAAATTAATTTTAATTTTATTAATTATCTAATTAAAAACTTCTATATGATATTGGTAATAAAAATAAGGTTAATTGTTGTAATTTTTTATAGATCCGACAAACTCTTTTCTTAAAAATATTAATTAACTTATTATAATTATATTAATTTTAAAGGAATGTGGGTTTTCAGGTTAGAAATATTTATGTAAAAATGTAAGTACCATTAATGGAGATTGCTACACTTTTTTTTCTTATAAGTTCGCTTGAAATATACTTTTTTTTGTAATATTAATTAATGTTTTGTATTAAATTTAGTAATTATTAGATGCATAATACTTTTTAAAATAATTATCAAATACTCTTTTTTGAGAAAGTAAATATCATTAATAGTGAGGAAACTAGGGTTACAACGGATCCTAATATGGTTGCCACCAAATCCTAATCATAAAAGGGGCTATCGTTACACAGTTTTACAAACTAAAAAGAAGGTTTAGTTTGGTAGTGTTATACTCTAATTATAATTGTTGGTTTTTTCGATCATTTAACATCTTAAAAATATATAAAATATATTTAATATTTATTTCAATTAACACTTTATATATTTTTAAAAATATATAGAAATCAAAACCTAAAACACCAAAAAAAAAAAAAACGTTTTTAAACAAAATCTAAGTAACTTGAGTTAGCACTAATCCTATACGTACTACTATATAAACTATAAAAGCCCATCCTATTAAAACTAAATTTAGACTGAATACCTCTCATAGGAAACATCCAAGGTGAAGACCTATGCTCCAAAGCCTAAGTCTCTGACCAGGGCCAATGGCACGGCTCGATTTCAACAAGAGAGAAAAAGAAAAGCCCTAACCTTGGGAAAAATTTATTCCTCAATTATTATCTAGTTTTGGATCATCAACTTTGTACCTGTTGATTCACAATAAAAAAATGTGTAATAAAAAAAATATATCAAATTTTTATATAGTTTTTGCGATCGAATGTTATGGATATGGTTTGTCGAAATACCCATTGCAAAGCCACCGCACTTGAATTATGTTATCTGCATATTCTGAAAGATAATTTTTAATTACCAGCTTATAATAATATGATGAGAAAATTAATTTCATTTTGAAAATTGACTTCCAAACCGAAGATTTTCGCACTACTGAAAAACAAGGTATCTTCAACAGAAAAGTCTTTTGAATATAAAGATATATCTGTCGACTATGTCTTAATCGACAACTATATGTGTTGTATAAACTGGGGTTGATAATGATTATATTTGATAGCCAATTTTTCTGTCAAATATACCTCGTTTAATCAACAGATATGGGCTAACGATAAAGATT